CCTATAAGCCTTATGTAGCCAAATTAGAGCCTGAATTTAATGAATTTATTTTAATTTCAACTCACATAGGGATATAGTGTTTTGATTAAAATAGATATTTTTATAAGATGAGTCGAAAAACCTTTAAAAATAATTGAGGACTCTAGGTTATTAATTTAACTCATTAAAATAAGTTAAGGAAGAGAGTTAAGATTTAAATGAAGTGTGAGGGATAATGTAATCTTAGACTTGTTTGATTTGAGTTTTACTCAAGTTATTATTACTTTGATTTTTCTTTTTAGTTTAAATTTTAGTTAATTAGTTGTAATTAATCAATTAATTTTGATTGTTTGGATAAGATTAAATTATTTTAATTTTAGTATTTAGTAAAATTTTAGATTAATTTTTTCTAAAATCGATATTCTATTTGCTTATATACTATCTATTTGATAAGTATACTTACATAGTAAAATTTTAACTGACACATTGCTTAACTTGGTTAATAACAGTAAGGTTGTGGAAGTGAATTCCTGCATTGTCGCTCCATGGAAAAAATCCAAGACCGCATGAAAGAGATTAGGTGCTATTATATCCTAGCAAAGCTGATAAAAATAAAAAGAAAAGCCTCAATAGAGAAAACAGCTTATTTCACCTACTGCATGGTAGGTTCTGCACATAGATTCTCATTATCAATTTCAGATAAAGTGGTTGAGGAATTAAACCTGGACAAATCTGTAGGTTCAGCTTTCAAAAGAGAGGAAAAAAAGGCCATTGTTGATGATTTAGATCACAACCGGATCTTTAGTGATGCTGGTATTGTATTTACTCAGATCACTTTCTGACGTACTCGTCCGAGAAAAAGAAGGATGAACTTCAATGTCTTCACTACCAACAATGGCCCCAGAAGGGACACTAATATGTTCTTTAATAACAGCACATGCACCCTGTTCTTCCACCATTTCTGGACCCTCTTCAATGCTGAAATTGTATGCAATAGCAGCCACTGGCCCATGTAAGGTCCTTGGAAAGATATTTTTAACATAATTATTTGGTCCCATTTGCATCTCAGGAACAACGTCACTTTTTATAGCATCTCCAAGCATTGGCTCCGATTGGAGAATGGGAGCACGCTCATCATTACTCTCTACAATTTCTGCTACCCCAGTTTCAAGCGGATCCCTCGTCCCTAGCTTCTCCACATCATGGCTTTTTACTACAGGTTCTTTCTACCTTTTTTTTTTTTTTTCTTTTTCATCGTGACGTTGCATGCATTCTCTACTACCCATTGGACATAATCATGCTCCCCAATATTTTCCACAGTATCAAAAGAACCACGTTCAGCATGTGAATGGTTGGATCCTCGATGAGAAAACATTGGGATTGGAGGAGTCACCAAAGCATCTACATTTTGAATCCCTTTCGAACCGTTTCCAATTCGAGGCAAATGATCTTCCATATATTGCTGTTCTTTTGGTTTGTTATTCGGAACAGACTTCCAAGCTTGTGAACCACCGGCCACATATTAGTTTTGTGTATCAATTTTCAGTTTACCAATGCCTTCCAAGAGTGACTGTTTGCTGCTAAGATCCCCAACAACATCAACCCTCTTAGTCTCGCACTTTTCTTGCCCTACATGAGAGTCTGTTTGTGGCTTCAAATATATATTTTTTCTATTAAGCAGCCACTGTTCACCCTCTCTATTCACCCCTATTCCATGTTTTCAATTAGTTCTTCATCCGCCTCAGACCCGATTACGGCAAATCTGTTAGAATTTCGAACCTGCAAATCACTCAAGCCTTGTAAATCTATTTCCATGCCTTTGGAATTCTTAGCACCACTTTTCCCTGGGTATTCCACGACTTGCCATTACATACTCTGTTTCTCTTATTCCTGTCGGCTCAGTTTTTTCCTTTTTTCCACATTGTCAGGAAGATTTTTTCCTTCTCGCTTTAGGGTGGTTCTCTCCGCCTTTTCCAAAGCCTTCAAATTTTCAGATTGTTTAGAAATCCCCGATGGTTTCTACTCTCCAGTTCTCAATTTGTCTAGCTTATTTCCCAAAATCAAGCACGTTGAAATACTATGCCCTACATGACAACAATGTGTGCAGTAGGCTATTAATTTGAGAACTCTACACGTTGCGAATAACCACCAGTAATGGCTCCTGTTTGTCTGTTCTTACTAACAATCCAAATTTGATCCGAGGGAGGCTTTTGACAATCATATTCAATACACACCCGTGCCACACTTGGTCTGGTACCATTAGCTGTAGCTTCATCAACAAACAGTGGTTTGCCCACCATCTTAGCAATCGTCAGAAGAGCTAATTTTTCAAACAAATGCGCCCTTAGATTAGGAAAAGATATCCAAACCGGAACGATCGAGGACTCCTTATCCGCTTGGAAATCTACAGACCATTTAAAAACTCTCATTTTTTGGCTTGCAATAAACCATGCCTATTTAATCCAGATACAATTGAAATCATGCTCGTTCGTTTGATAAATCAAGATATGTTTGTGGTCTAACTACCGAATCTCATATGCTCCGATTAGCCTTATCCCTTTAAAAGCCAAGTGGATTTCCTATAGTCGAGGCATTTTAGAAAATTTCCCGATTAGAGAATGTTTGAATGGCTGTGCCAGGACATCAATCTCATCATCAAAAAAGGCTGCAACCGGACGATCTTTATACCAAAAATGTTCTTGGGAAAGAGGGATCAACGAGGTTTTCTCTCTTGCCGTAACACTCAAGATTGATTTTTTCTAGGTACGGGGAGACACAATAGGGTTTTCTCCTTGTTGCATGGCTTGCGGCAAGCCATGAATGTGTGGCAGCTGTAGCTTTTGGTTTGCTGGCAGGTTGTGGGTGACCATTGGTTGGCATGGGGACGCAGTAGCAACAGACAAGAGGCTTGGCGGAGGGTCCAATGGCCTGCTAGTCGCCAAACCATGAGAATTTGGGAAAGATGGGAAGGCATGGGAGTTGAGAGTATTCCATATCATTAATTATGTTTATTTAGTTAAAAATAATCATTGTCCTTGATCAATTTGATTAGATTTTTATTAATAAAATAATATTTTAATTATAATTTTAAAATATATTTAAATTATTAAAATATTAATTAAATCAATATTGATATTATTTTACTAATAAATATTCTATAAATGGGTGAACATCCATGTTGGGACCTAACCTGACACAACTCATGAGCACTTATAATTTATAGGACATTTAAATCACAACTTGGACTCTGTTAAAGTGGTACCAAACTCGATTTTAAGTGTCAAAAGGAAGTTATTGTAGTAGGTCTAGTAGATAAATAGCATTAGTATTTGTAGCTAAATATATATATATATATATATATATATATCGAATACTTACTGTTAAAAGAGTGATAAATTAAGTCCTACAATAATTAAGAGCGGTACCTACCTCTCCTACCAACCATATAACAATCAAGTTGAATACTTGTACAATGTTCATCAATAGGGCATTAAAAGACCCAAAATATATAAAATTTGATATTGACATACCCGACACATTTATTATACACATAATAATTAGAGGCAATGAAAATGTTCCAGCTTCTTTTTTTGAATTTTCCTCAGTATGTACTAGGTATTTATATATTTCACTGTCGACTATATATCCATATATTGCTTTCATGATAATAGATCAATAAGACATTAATTAATTTAGTGATAAAATGGCATATAAAGAAATATTGATCTTAAAATTATTGATTTAATTGTGTATATATATACATATTAAATATTTAAAATGTACTGTAATAATGTAAGTAATGTATTTGTGAGGTGACATATTAGTTTAAGTTTAAAATCAAATGTACACGATTTAATATATTGTAATATTGTGATCGTAGATGAATCAAATTAATAAAGCTTAAGAGTTAAGATATTACAAATAATGTCTTTTTTTTTATCGAAATAAATTCTGTTGTTGTTCGATGTTTTGACAGAAAGTTATTTTTGACAGAAATTTAATTATTTTCAACGAAAATTTCGTTAATTTTTAATGAGGCAGAATAAAAAAGCTAGCCATAACTCCATGCCAGAGGTGAAGGGTGGTGCTGAGCCCAATAAAAGTAGCTGAAGCAAAGTTCAGTGCCATCGAGTTACAGTGAAAAGGAAAAAGGACTACATGAAAGGAGAAGGAAAGGAGTAAATTAAATGAAGATGTTGTTGTGAGGGGGATGATGGAGAATGGGTGGCTTAATCAGGACTCAAAATTGGTTGGTGTGTGGGCCAGGGCAAGGACAGGCTCTCCTCCTTGCACTGAATCTGCAACCTTTGTAGGAGTAATGCTCAATGCTTGTGCAGTTACGCCATCATCAAAAACTCAAAAGAGCAGCAAAGGTGAGTGAGCAAGTAGCAGGCAGCACTTTGATGGTGCATGTTTTTGTCCTTTTCTTGGGCATCACTCAAAGCTGAAAGCTTGCAAATGGAAATTGATGCTGTCTGGCTGGCTCTTTTGACTGTATCATCAGTTGGAAACAACACGCGCACCTTTTATCAGGAGCTAAGCACACCCTTTTCAGTATTCATCATGCTGAGTCACGAATCAGCACACAAATTGGGCCAATGGCCATGGATGGATGGATTGGAGAATGTTTAGAATTTAACACAGACCAGCCTGAGAGTAAAGTCCCCATCCCTTCCCCCCACCCCCCAGCCAAGGATTTTGTTCTGTCTAAGTCTAGCCTTTAACTGTCCATCCTTTTGTTGTGGAAACTGGAATCTTACTTTTGTTGGATATCTTTGTCCGAATCAAAGTTATGTTCTAGTTCTGCACTCTGTTCTTTCAACTGTAAAATCAAAAGGGTACATCTTTGCACCTCCCAGGATTCTTCAATTTGCCCACAATAAATCAATGAATAAGTAATCATAAAATTTTCAACAGGACTTAAAACTTCTATCTGTGAGAAAAACTGACAGATTAAATATTAACATGGTAAAGACCAAGGCTAAGAAGTAGAAACAAAACAAACCAAGTAAGCAGAAAGATTTAGCAAGATCATTCCTTAAATTATAACAATATACACCAAATGTTATTTACTCTTACCATCAGAGAGAGACAAATGTCATAAATATAGGTATCTGGGAAATAATAGCTCTGTTTCCTGTTGCCATCACTCGAGGTCCATAGGCAGTGATGAGAAAGCGTAAATAACTGCACTTTATGGTAGTAGTTAGGCTTTTATGCTTTGATTTGAGGTTTGGTGTGATAACTTCATTGACTGAACCAACCAAGAACTTCATAGATTATAACAGTACATATATATTAGAAGGGAGAAAAATGCATTTAAATGGTATTCCCACCAATGATCAAAACCAAGAAATTTTGTCTTTCAATTAGCTATTGTCCAAGTCATGTCATTCTGAAAGATCCAATGGCAGACTTCAATCCGCCCAGGGCTTGACCCCAGTGCCACAAAGGCCCCATGGCTAGGGCTCCAAGCTGAAGTGTCAAGATGACAAACGGCAACACCATAATTAATCTTGTCTTTGCTTTTGACATCAAGAATTTCAGCGTCATAAACCCTGACTTCGGGCACTGAGTGGCAATAATAGACTAGGTACGGGTACAAACTCTGATGGCAGGACACTGATTTCGTCACCTTCCCACCGTTGATTCCTTTGATTTTTCCTAACATGATCTCTTGCTTTGACCCCTCCACATTTTTTGTTGTTCTGACCGCAACATTGTGGCCTAAGACCACTGTGGCGAAGTCAATCATGTCCTCCACCGACCCAACGCACCGCTTGGTCTCACCTTTGCTCGGGGGCCTCTCGCATTCCGCCAGCGCGTTGATAAGCACGCGCTCCATGGTTGAATTCTCCGGTGCTCTAAAGATTTCCCTGAGGCTGGGCAATTCGGAGGTTGAAAATGGTAATTTTGACAAAATCCCGCGGGGCAAAAACGACCTTTTGGGCATTTTATCTCTGATGTCGGGCATCACCATGACATTCCCCTGCTTCAACATGGACTCCCTGAAGAATTTACCCGGCTCAACCCATCTATTTACAGAAACGCCACTACTACGTGAAGAAGCTATTTCTCTAGAGCTTGGGTTCGTGTACCCAGCGAACGTGACACCCTTTTGGGCATAATCTTTGAACGAACGGTCCAAACCATAAATTTTGAACCCGATCGAGGTTGAACCGGTGGAACCTTTCCCATACTCTTTGAATGTATCGTTTCCAACATTGAATGATTTCCCATAATTTGCAAAATTCACTTTCCCGGAATTTGACTTCCTTGCGTAAGATTGAAAAGAATCATCTCCAACATTGGCAGAATCTCGGTAGCTACTGAAGCTATTGGTCCCCGCGTTGGCAGCCAAATCATAGCTTTTAAAGTTGTTGTGGGGATTGTTACCTGAGTCACCGTAGGCTTTAAACGAGTTGTTTGGTGCGTTCCCCAACTCCCCATACCCTGTAAAACTCGACCCGATGGTGTTTGCATTATCACCATAGCTAGTGAACTCAGCTGGAACTGCATTGCCGTTCTTGCCATAGCTAGCGAATGATTCCGACCCTGAGTTTGTCTCGCTGCTATAGCTTGTGAAAGAGAGCTTATGGTTGTTGCCATCAGAGTCATACGTGGTGAATTGGAGGTTTGGCACGTTAACTCGTTCCTGGTAGTTATTGAACCCGCCAGAGCCGCCCGTGGCGCTGGTGCCATAATTGGTGAAGTTGTCAGTAGCAACATTGGCGTCCTTGGCATAGCTTGTGAACTCTTCTCTGTGGCCGTTTGAGCCCCTGCTGTATTTCTTGAACGATTCGTTGGGAGTATTTAAGCCATCCGAGTAGTTCTTAAAAGAGTCAACCCCTCCGAGTCTTGACGTGCCATAACCTGCAAAGCTTTTGCTGGAATAGACAGCGAAGTTTGCATTCTGGTCACGCTTGCCGACAGCGTCAGGTTCCGAAGAATCCTCAAGTAAACAGAAAAGATTGGCTAATGAACAAAAAGATTCAATGTTGGAAGATAAAGACTTTTGAGAGGCGAGTTTGGTGAGCTTCGCCAAGTCAATGGCGTTCAATGGAGAAGCTTTGGAGATAAGAAATGGCGGCTTTGGAAGATTATTGGAAATCTGCTTGTTCCAGTAACGAATCAGGGAGGCTCTCGCTGTAAATGGGTTCTCCTTGCTCTTCTTCCCTGTGCCTGTAGAATAAACTTGCACCACCTGAAAATAGAAACCAAAAAAAAAAAAACCAACTCCACATTAATGCAAAGAAAAATATTGGAGCGAAAACAAAATCAGGGGAATTTCTAACTTTTCTTACATTGGAAGATGAGAGAGACAGGAAGAAGAAGAGAAAGAAGATCTTCATGTTGTTGTTCTCTTCTCAATTCCAATACCAGCTGGTGGGAAGAGACAGTGGTCTGTATGGAGGATATATAACCAGCAGGGGCTTCCCTTCCCCTTTCTTCCTATATTTGCCTTAATTTTTGTGACAGGTTTTACTTTAGGAAAATAAAGCTGGTCGGTCGGACTGACTAAACATATAGATTTTAGTTTGAAAACAAGGGTTAAAGGAAAACAAACAATGACAAGATATAAAGAAGCTAAAAGCTTGTAAGAATTCAGCAGTCACTTACCTTTCCCTGGAAGAGCTTAGCATTTGAGATTCAATCAATGAATTTCACAAGTTTAAGAGATTTCTTATCTGCAAACTGTCTATCTATTCTTGATTTGTTTATGATAATTATTGGTTTAGGAATGATTTCAATAACAAAATTACCATGATTGGTACTTGATTAGTTGTTTTCTCCACTTTTCTTTCATCTTGGGGGAAAAAAAATCACATTTTCATATACCTATTAAATCAATGAATTTGACAAGTTAAGGGATGTATTATATGCAAAGTGTTCATCTATTCATGATGTATTACCATATATATTGATTCAGGAATGATTGTAATAAAAAAATAATCATGATTTGTATTTGATTAATTGTTTTTCTACAAATTTACACCCGAGATTCCCTACTTAAAAAACAAAATTCAAAACCCTTTCCTCCAATTGAAAAAAAAAAAACTCTTAACCTAAATTTTGAAGTTTTTAACTCTTCTCCTCTCATAATTTAAATAAAAAATCTCAATTAGGGTAAGAAGAAAGTGCTGGCCTATTAGTTTAGGGTTTAGGGACCTAAGAGCACCATGAAAAGAGAGTTAGGGTTAGGAAATCTAGAACTGTTTAGACTAACTGGTCAGTGGGAAGATGAAATGGTTTTCTTAGACAAGGATCCCATATTTTCTTGTCTCAATTCCTGCCGCCTCCATTGAAAAAATTAAAGCAACAGAGAGTGAACAAATTCCGATGGGACAACACTACACCAATACCCAAAAATGGGTGGCAAGTTGTTATTTTCATTAGGACACATAATTGACAAAATCATGGGTTTGCTGCCTCTGATTAGACTGATAATATATATTAACATACATAAATACTATTTATTTATTTATTTATCAATTGCAGCTCTGGCATGCCGAGATCATGAAGAAAATGTTCAGTGGTTTTGATGATTTCTGTACCTTCTTTTATAGTACTTTAAAAATTTAAAGATGCTTCTCTTTTGACTTTATCTCAACCCAAATGTCCCACATCTATCATTGCTAATTACTGCTTTTTATAAAATAAATAAATTTCATCGAAACCCTAAAATTTTATTTAAAAATAACAATCGAATACTACAAACTTAAATTATATTAAAATAATAATAAAAAGTAATGTTTATTAATATTCTATTCATACTGGACATCTTATATGAAAAATGAATTATTATATTGCCATAGAAATATATTCATGTAACATTAGACGAGATAATATTCAATAAAATAAAAATTTACTTATTAATTCATATCTTATCATATAATGGTAATCACCTGATTAACAAGCATAGGTTAAACTAATTAATTTTGGTCGTCAAGGACTAAGTAAAGAGTTAAAATTCGAATTTTGAAGAAATATTAATTATGTCTTTGATTCCGGGTGATCTCATAATTAAACTTTACCTTACATAATTGATTGTTTTCCAAGTACTAGAATTTATTTCATTCACCTAAACAAGTTGTGCCATTGAATCATAAAACGACAAAGTTCTGTAAATTTATTACTACTATCACATTAATGCAGATTAATGTTGGAATTTACCAAAATTTTTATGAAGCTAGAGATTTGGGCATTGGGGGTTCCTAATTTTGGGTTTAAAGTAACCCCAAAGACTTACTTCTCTTGACTAGGTACACTCATTTAGATTAGGGTTTGCTAATGGTGTTTATTAGCATTTGTTAAAATTAATTTAAAAAATTAGTATGCAAACACTCATTTTAATAATTATTGTACGTAAAAAGTATGATTAGATAATAATTTTTTGTTTTGTATATGTTAATATTTTCGTTTTAATTATTTAAATATTTAAAAAATAATTAATTTAATAATAATTTTTAATTAATCGTATTTACAGAATCACTCTTGAAGTAATTTTTTATTTGAAAATTGTCACGCAAATGCAAGAAAAATCAAAAGAAAAAGTTAAAGAAGCAAGAAAAGGAAAAAAATCTAGGCGTAGGCCCCACACAGCAGGAATGAAGCCGTCTACCTAAAGAGGAAAGGGGCGTCGGGTCGTTAACCTGGAAAACCCGCCAAAACATGCTGACAATAACGACCGCCTCCGTATCTCCTCCTCTTCCACCACCAACATCAACTCCTCAAACGCCTAACCTCCACGTTTCCTGCCAGCCAATCAACCGCCGCAACTTGCTTCTGACTTCCCTCACCCTCTCCTTAGCTCCTTCGGTCTCAGTTCCAGTTGCCAGTGCCCGTGGCCTTCTTCAGATGCCCCCACCTCGCCTCAGCAACAGGTAACAACCCCCTTCACCAACAGGATTGATGAAATTGAAGAGAGAATGTAAATCAGTAAGTGAATAAATGAATTGGGTTAGCCTCAATTAAGCTGCATGTAATTGGTACTAGTACATTTCATGGAAGGATTTTGTTCCTTTGGGTGTCAAAATGCTGATAGTATATAGTATTTGACAATATATGTTGATGATATATATTATGTAAAACCTTTTTGCTTGTGCCATTCTTCTACGGCACAAGTGAAGACCAAGGCATGTTAAAACTTGAATGTAAAATTTGGGTCCTTTTCTATTAACTTAATTAGTAAGTTTTTAGTAAGATAATTGGTAATTCAACAATAAATTTAACATATTTTCACTATCTTAATCACGTTCTATGTTCAAATTTAGCTGAGTTAAGGTTTAGCTCTATGTGGGTAGATATATGATGTGAATAAAAGAATGTGGGACGGACTTCTTCTTAGCAAACAAATAGTGTGAAACGTGGTTCTTGTGGCTACTTTCTCCTTGGAATTTGTGTTTAATTGTTTGGCTATGTGTGAAGGTACTTTCTGGTAAGGGCTGGCGAGTCTGAGTTTGAGAGCTTCGGAATAATCAACACCAATCCAGTTGCAAAAACATCTGTTGATAGTGGATTATCAGAGAAGGGGAAGAAGCAGACAGTGAGGGCTGCTTTGGAGTTGAGGGCAATGGGGGCCTGTGAAAATAACTGCTGGATTTGGCCTTCAATTACTCAGAGAGCTTACCAGGCTGCTGAGATCATTGCTGCTGTTAATGGAGTCAATCGTAGGTAAATTAACAGTACATATTTTAATGGATTCTTCAATAATTAACTGAGAACAAATGCAACTTGTCTTGACAAAGGCAAATTTTATAGTTGACCCTGTCGTTTTATAAGCCATCAAAACACCAAACCACGCAAATTTCTTGTATTTTTAGAGTGTGTTGATTTTATTCTTTCTTTATTCTATTGATTGTATATGATCTTGGACGACTTTTCGAGATTATTCCACTATTTTCACAGCAGATTTGAAGTTTAATTTATGTTGATGTGTTGTTCCAAACAATTTTGATTCTGTTGCAGTTATATAGTTCCAGAGTACAGCTTCCTTGATGCCCGTGGGCTGGGAGCATATGAAGGCAAGAAACTGGAAGCTGTTTCAGAAGTAAGATCTCTTTCTTTACATCGTAGCCATTTGGTATGTAAATATGTTTTGTAAAGAATATGTTGAGTTTTAGGTTGACTAGAATTCTGTATCTTATTTGATTAGAATTTTGGTTTATGTACAACATTAAGTAGTTGTATAGTTTTAAACTTCTTATTCCACATAGAGTTCTAATCACATTCTATTTTGGACTTTTATACTATAAAAGTGGATAGTTTTAGAATTGTAAGTAGTGCTTTGATAGCTTTAGAGAAGTTACACTTTGTAATTCTGTCTTTTGCTCTAGGTGGAGCTAGAGTGGTTTGGGTGAGTGTTTTTGGGGTGAGTGTTCTTCTTGGGAGGTTATTGAGAAAGAGTGTGCAAGGATCTTGGGTTAGTTTGGTGAGCCATAGAAGTCAATTTATTGTACTTTAATTTCTCAATAATATAAAAATAGTTTCACTTCGTGGACATAGAAGTCAATTTATTGTACTTTAATTTCTCAATAATATAAGAATAGTTTCACTTCGTGGACATAGACAAGAGGCAGAGTAAATTCTTATGTTTTTTTGTTTGCTTAATTTCTTTTGGTTTTATCTTTGTTGTTTCTTGGGCAATTTTCATAACAGAATAATTTCTGTTCAATCTGTGTATATATTTTCTTTGTAAGAAATCACAATAATATAAGAATAGTTTCACTTCGTGGACATAGACAAGAGGCAGAGTAAATTCTTGTGTTTTTCTATTTGCTTGATTTATCTGGGTTTTATCTTTGTTGTTTCTTGGACAATTTCCATAACAGAATAATTTATGTTCAATCTGTGTATATATTTTCCTTGTAAGAAATCATGCACTAAACTAAGGATTCTACTGTTTTTGATCCTTTAGTGCCTGAGCTATTGTGAGTTGACTGTGGTTTATTGGTTGTTTGAAAATGGTTCAGGTGTATGAATCGGATAGCATTTCTTCTACGATCAAGCCACCTCCTATAGATGATGGAACCCCGAATGAGAGTGTGGCCGATGTGTTTGTTCGTGTGACACAACTCATGTCTATCCTTGAGACCCAGTACTCTGAAGACACTGTAATTATAGTCTCTCCAGATTCTGACAATTTGACGATATTGCAAGCTGGTTTAGTTGGACTTGACCTTCGAAGGTAATCTAGTTGTCTTCAAGAGGTCCGTTAAATTAGGGGTATCTTGAACCTTTTCATTTATCACCAATTGGTTTTAGATTCAATGTTCGTCCAAAATTCAACCTGTTTAACTACATCAAACCAGTAAAAAGTGACTATATCTGATGTCTGATCCTGTTCAACAAAGAAAAATTAGAAAAACCACTAAGCACCAAAATTCTTATTTGTTTTTCCTTCTAATTTTCAGGCACAGAGATCTTTCCTTTGCCCCTGGAGAAGTAAGATATGTTGACCCAAGTAGCATTCCTACCTACAAGCAACCTGCATCCGCTGTGTATAAATGTTTAAACCCCCCCAACTGTAACTGATATAGCATTATTTCATTACAAAGTCTAAGGTACACAAAAGAAAAGTATCTGCTGCTGATTACTTGCCCTTTCTGCATTCATTACAGTTTATCTTCTTCATCATCATAATCCACCGGCCTGTTTTTGTCAGGATCTGCTTTTTTTTGTAGATTTCGTTATCAATATCTTTCAGGGCATCATAAACAAATGCACTTGTTATTGCCCTCCACCTTCCGGAATCTTTGTTTTCAAAGAAAGAACCTGGTCTAACAAAACCAGATAACTGCAGTTCAGGCAGCTGCAATTAGCCTCCTTCCAGGCAACAGATCGTGTTCATTCTTGCTCAGCTGATGGTTCTTGTTTTGCCACTGTTTAGTTTTTCTGTGGTTTCATGCAGGAGTACTGATTCAAATTGATTTCTGGGGAACCTTTCCCTGACTAGATAATCCACCTTATTCCCCCATTGTTGGTTCAATCATCAACATTTGTGTGCCTGTGGAACCTTTGCAAAATCACAAAAGATGTGATTGGTTCTTACCTTTTTATGTCAACCTGGCTTCTTGGATATGGCCCGTAATCATATCCCTTATCAAGAAAAGTTTGGGTGTCTTGTCTCCCAATGCATAGATCAATGGTGGGTTTGGTACAGTGGATAAAAAGATTCACCATCTCCACTTCTCAAAAGGTTTCGGAACTTAAAAAGACATTTCTTTTTAATTGAGTAATGCTTTTTTTGTCGGATTACCTACAAGATCATTATCATCAGAAAGATTAAGTTCTGTAGTACATGCGATCTGCTGCATCATCTTGCAACGGTATATAATAAATTTATGAATATTGATTTTTTATAAGCAATCAAGATTATCGGATATTATATACATTTACCTTTTTTAAAGTAAAGAATCTCACATCAATAAGATATGAGTAAGTCATGGTACGTGAACATGGATTTTCTACCATTTTCCACCATCAAACATGTATTCGTGATTTATAAAAGTTGTGGTCTGTGACAAGTGGTATGTGGATCTTTAATATAAATATCGAGATAGACCCAAATTAACGTAAGAGTCTCTTTGCTCTACAAGTAAAGAGTTAGTATAACAATTTTATAATTAGATAAGGTAAAATGTCATGAATCTCATTTTAATAATAGATCGGGGTATGTTTTTTATATATAAATATGAATTTTTACTATTTATCAAATATGTTTTTTAAATTGAGAATGTGAGTTCGTGATTTATAAATTTATCCAAACTTAATTATTTTATGATTTAATCTAAACTTTCTTTCAATTCTAAACATAATAATAATCACAATATTTAATTTTATGATACAATATTAAGTTTTCTTTAAATATATTCATATTCAGATAAAATTTAAATGGATAAAATCAAATATATACTATTAATTAATATAATAAAATGGATTGAATCAAGTTCGAGTCTAATTTTTTTTAGTCAAAAATAATTTTTAAATAGTTTTAACAAGTTGAAACACAATTTAATTAAAAAAATTGTATGATATAATTAAAGTATTGGAAAAGAAAAGAAAGAGAAGTTGAGTGGAAAGGAGACCCTATCCGATCAACACAAAAAATTCCTACCTAATTTAAGCGAACCAGAACCAACCACGTCACTGAAACGTCACACGTGTCATCCACTCTCCACCGTCCAAAAATAATTATTACTATAGTTAAATAATTAATTAATTAATTAAATTAAAAGGAAATTAATTTAATTTTTTACCCACCTCTGATTAATTACGGTCTCCGTTCCGTTTACTTCCCAGTCCTCTGAAGGCTACCCCGTTCACCAAAATAGTTTTAGGTTCTCTTTAATCTGAGAGTAGTGTTGCTACATTTAATTAAGTAACAACTAAAGCAAGGTAATTATCGTACGGGAATATTATTCTTGTTCGATTTCCATCCATTTCTGTTTCTTTTTTTTGTGTCTTCTAAATGAAGATTCGATCTTTGGAGTTTTACTGCTGTTGCGGTTGTTAACTCTCTCTAAATTCCGCCTACCTCCCCCTTCTTCTCCTTCTATGGCTATTAGAGGCGTCGATTTCAAGTGGTTTGTTCTTCATTTCTTTAAGTTGTATTTCATTATGTATGAAGTAAGAAATATGGGGTTTTTTGTTAATGGTTTTCTTGGCTTTCTTTTGTTGCAGGTATGATGGGTTCTTCTTATCTATGCTGGCGACAAGTGTGTATCCTTTTTCTTTTGTTTTCAATTTGGGATTTCGTTTTTCTTTTAATTTTTCATGATTTGGAATTTGGGTTTTTTATTTTCTTGCTAGTTTTGAACATTTATGTAAAAAAAGATTACCATTTGTTAGTTTGATCTTCGTCTTAGTACTGTTTGGTTGCTAGGAAAATGGAGGAAAGAGAAAGAAACTGAATCTTGGGGTTTTTTCTTTCCTTTTCTTTTGAGATTATGAACTTTCAAACTGAGGACTGAGGTTATTTGAAAAATGTTTGTTCTTTGACAATTGTTATCTACTAGAATCATTGTTGCAATCAACTGGAAGCGTTATCATCTTTGTACATACCCGTTGCATAAATGGATTGTGGTGAGTTTTTTTAAGGTTTTGAGAAGCTTCTGTGGATTGAAAAGTTGATTCCTTTTAGATTTTCTTGATATAGGGAAACTTTGTTCTAAACTGGTAACTTAATGACTATTCATTCAGGTTGATTACACAACCGTGTTCGTTTTTCGTCTGTTGATGTTTGTAGATAATGGACTTGCTGCTGGAATGGGTTTGTAAGAACTTTTATCTTTGACTATTTGAGAAGTTTAAGTGACATAATTTGATCTTGGGCCTAAGAATTAATCTTCTTGAAGCGGAAATTATTGCTTTTTAATTGTATGGTTGTGCTGTCATGCCACTCAACTTAGATACTAGAATGTCAATTAGCCAGGAAAACATACATTTAAAAGTCTATTTCTTCCCTTCGTACTGTTTGATTGTCAGTTGCGATTACTTGCAATTCTTTCTTCTATAATAGTTGCTTGAGCTTTTTCCTACTTAGAAGCTTTGTGTTTCAAAAGTATTCTTTTAGTAGCTGATTTCAACTTGACTGGCAATTCTCTTTTCTTGGACTTCATTTCTTCTAGGGATTTTGGATGGCAGCAGAGGTATGCTCGTTTTTGTGGAAGAGTAGTGGTTCTTTCAATTCTATCTCTGCTACTTTATCCATTTCTTTGGGCTTGGACTATAATTGGCACTCTATGGTTCACCAGTGCAAGGAACTGTGTAAGTGTTTTATGCTTGTCAGGATCTTTGTCTTGTGCAAGCTATCTTACTGCTAGAGGTAATGTTCTTAATACATGCAGTTGCCAGAAGAAGGTCAGAAATATGGTTTCCTGATTTGGCTGCTTTTCAGTTACTGTGGACTGCTTTGCATTGCTTGCATGTCTATGGGAAAGGTTAGTCATGCTAGCTATACTACTAGGGGACTGTCATTCAATTCCTCAATGACCTTGATGTCTGTCACGGACTCACAACAAAGGGCTTTCTTTATTTCTGTTTCTTTACTGTATGTTATGTGTCCTTGATGCATACCTAGAGCATCAACAATGTCGCTATTTGCTGTTGACTGCTATGTTCTTATCACTTTTCATGAAATTCGTCTTCTGCAGTGGATGGCACGGAGACAAGCGCATCTATTGCGTGCTCAGCAGGGGATTCCTATTTCGGAATATGGGGTGAGTTCTGGAATCTCTTGCTAAATATATCTTGAGTTGTGTATCCATCAAACTTTGTCTTGGTTATTTCTTTGAAATTCTGCTATTTATGACATATTACTTATTTGAAAGTCTCATGGAACTATAACATGTGCAAAGTGTGTTGTTTATATTGAAATGATAAAATATACTTCTCTATGTGATAAATCTATCAAGGAAAGGTTAATGAGCTTAGAGAAACAAAAGAGAGATTAACTTGTTTAGATTTGAGTATATAGAACAGTTTTTGTGTGTGTGCGTGTGTTGGTGGTGGTGGTGGTGGGGTTGTTATGACGTAAATAATTGCAGAGGTTTTGTGCTAAAGATTAATTTTCATTTTGCTTTCTTTCCAATCTTCGTGGAGATTGTTTTAGGAAGCTTGACTGGAATTTTTGTTTTGTTGTTCCAAAGAATAATATTATATCTATCTTTGAGTATCTAATGTCTAATATGTGAACACACAAGAATATTGACTATTGTAGAAGGTAATGCAACTTAATGCTGAGTCACTTCACTTTCCTCAGTGCCTGACATCCTTTATAGCTTCTTTGATATTGTAGTGATGTAAGACATCTTTTGTGCTGACCACCTTCCCATTGAATGTGAGGACCTAGAAGGGTTTCACTCATAGCATATCTCTTAAAGCTTAAGAGATGCAGGTTTTGTCTTTTGTTTGTATTGTTCCTTTGTGTTTGTCTTCTTCTCCCCTTTGTTTTGTTTAGTTTCTAATTGTAATTCAATTTCATGACTATGTAAAACATGAGCAAGCTATTTTCTGTTAGTAGTGTTCAGGGAACTATTATTTCCATATTAGCTACCACCTCAGTAGGATGGCTTCTGAGCTTAACACTTAATTAATTCCAGGTTTTGGTGGACATGGTTCGAGTACCAGATTGGGCATTTGAAGCTGCAGGTCAAGAGATGAGAGGCATGGGCCAAGATACAGCATCATATCATCCTGGACTTTATTTGACTCCAGCTCAGGTTGGTGCTTAGTTGTGATGAACCACATTGATGGTTTCCGTTATTTTACAATTTTGTTGTTTGAATTATATTATAATTACCTAGGAAAGGTAAGGCTGGTCCCTCTCATAGGTTTTCACATTATTGACTATCCAAACTTACAATGTAGAAGCAGTTTAAGTGAACTTCAGGGCTTAGTCTATATTTAAGGAAATGGGCAACAACACTGATAATTAGTCAAATGTAGGAAGCTACAACTCCCTTCCAAACACCCCCACCCCTCTAAAAGAACACGCACATTTTAAATGTCGAAGCAAAAAGTTTCCAGCCACTAATCTTTGAATAAGTTTTATGATTGTCTTGCTGCTTGTGTGTCATTTTGCTATATTCCAGTACTCATTATAAATTTTCTGTGGTTAGACACTATCCTTTTCATCCAGCCTGTCTTGATGCGACTTTCACTGTATATTATGCTTTACACCTCTAATTCCTTACTTTTTTTTCTCGTTTCTGTGTGGTCTTTGCTTAGAGAGAAGCAGTGGAGGCACTCATTCAAGAACTTCCAAAATTCAGGTTGAAGGCTGTTCCAACTGATTGCAGTGAATGTCCAATCTGCTTAGAAGAGTTCCATGTTGGGAATGAGGTAAAACCTTATTGGTCACTCTTGTTCTTCATTCAAGGCCTTCCATTTATATTATATTAATTTCATACTTTAGATTTCTGCTTTTGGTAAAGGAAAGCTTTCTCTGTTTATCTAAGTCTCTGTTTGGTTGATGCTTTTGCTCTTTACTTTTTTCTGTTTTTGCTCTTTAGCAAAAAATGAACAGAAAGGAAAAAGCAAAAAAATAAAAATAAATAGAAAACAAAAGGCAAATAGCAAAATCATCAGCAAACAGAGCCTAAATGGATATTATCCATCAATTAGAAGTGAGTTGGATTTGTACTTTGTACATTTTGGCTCTGTACAGGCAATTTATATTGATGTTAAATCCATTATGTTCATTGGATCAGAAGTCTGTACTCAATACCCCCCCAGCTTGCAAATCCTGGCTCGGCTTATAAGATTTTTAAAAGCAATGCGATTGACACAGATCATATAGAAAACAAAAAACTAATACATATAATACTATGATGGGAAGCTTTCCATGATATCACATCTGAACTTGTGCTTGCAAATATTTCTTTTAATAGTCTGAAAACTTATTAAAGTGTACATTTTTGTTGTGGCATATGAGCAATTGACACAGGTCATATAGAAAACAAAAAACTAATGCATCTAATACTATGATAAGAAGCTTTCGATGATTTACATCTGAAGGTGCTTGCAAATATTTCTTTTGGTGGTCTGAAAACATATTAAATTGTACATTTTGTTGTTGTCCAAAAAAAAAAAGTACATTTTATTGTGGCATAGGAGCCTGAGTTTCTAACATGGAGCGGCGCAGGTTCGTGGCTTGCCTTGTGCACACAATTTTCATGTAGAATGCATTGATGAGTGGCTTAGACTGAACGTGAAGTGCCCTCGATGCCGGTGCTCTGTGTTCCCAAATCTTGACCTCAGTGCCTTATCCAACCTCCGAAGTGCTGACTCTGAACGTTCATCTGGTAGTGTAGTAACGACAACCCAATATGTGAGAACTCAGCCTCCCAGCCAGAGTTATTTACTGAGATTGCAAGGTTTGCTCCGGCCAGTCCGAACAGAAAATGCTGGGGCTCCCAATGATGCAGATGTTGCTTTAGAAACTGGTGAGACTGGAGGTTTGAATGTGGCAGCTCAGGATTCTACAGGCACAGAAACTGTACCAGGAGGGCTTGGTGGTCACTCCACACCACCACAACACTGAACTTTTTTCTTGGATTCTCCCTGACGATTTTTACTAAATTTTTCTAACCTCTAGCCGGAAGAGGCTAGGTGATGATGTTTGTCCATGGCCATTGCTAAACACTTGCACTGGTTGCTTACTGTAACGAACGATTTCATACGTTGACCTATGAGTATATCAAATTCTCTGATGCAAAAGATGTTGATAATGATGATATTGGAACCAAACGCCATGTCCCATCTTATAATGAAAGAAAGATGTCCATGCTTACAGGGAAGGCCTGCCCCCCTTTAGCAAGGATGTTTGTTGATTTTCTCCTCCTCCAGGGGTATATCTAACAAAACCAAATCTATTACACTTGTCCAATTAAAGAGTGAAGATTGTTGACATGTCAATCTACGTTGTTGGAAAGTGGCACTTGGTGCTTTATTGGTTGTAGAATGAGTTCAACAGGGATGATGGGGATGGAAGCCTAGCCCCACCATGGAATTAGCTTGAGGTAGCTAAAGCCTAAACTGGATGTTGGTAAAACTGCCTTGAAAGAGACCATTTTTGGCTTTCCTAATCTAACCTCATTTTGCATTAGTGAAGTGTATTGTTTAAGCCTCAGGTAAGATCGTAAATATGTGGACCTCAAAATGCTTTTAAAAAACCAATGAGACAAGGCCACCCTAGCAAAACCCAAAAAGAAAAGGATAAAATCCTAGTACATGTAAAGACATGAAATTCCCATGGATCCTTACATATCCAATGGGTCCGGATATATCCGACTGAGACCTCCCCTCCCTTCAAAGTTCTGTTATCTGCCGATTCTATCCATCCATTCATAACAACACAGTAGAAACTTGAAAACCACCAAACCAAAAATAAAAAAACAAATTCATAGAGAGGGAGAGACATCCTTTACATTTGAGAAGAGAAAGATGCTAGTGACCAACCATGTATGTGGTGTTGGGCAATCAATCTCTATGCCTCAGCTGAAACCCTTTTGTTTTATAGATTTCTCGGCCAAGAAGTCTTCCAATTCCAGCTTTGTTTTGGGTTTGAATTGGAGTTTTGCTTCTGCTCAAAACAGGCCTTTTTTCAGGCACCACACCAAGGCCTCTTCTTTGCGGTGCTGTTGCAACAATCCCAGAAACAGTAATGACAGCAGTTCTTCTTCTGAATGGGATTGGAATCGATGGAGCCGCCATTTCTCTGAGATTGAACAGGCTGAGAGTTATGCTTCTGTTCTCAAGGTAATTCCTTTTGAATTCTTTCCCTTTTCTTCTACATGTTTTCTAATTGGGTTTTTAATTAGTTGAAAATCCGTACTTGTTAGTCAATTAAAGTTTCCATTTTTAACCACCCATTTCATGTTTCTCTCTCTAGTCTCGTTTGGTTGTTTCTTGTTTAATTTGTGCGCCTTATGTATGTATTGCGCTATTAAGTACTTCTAAACATCACTGAATGAGAAATTGATAGCTTGCATATATATATATAATATATATATATATATATATATATATATATATATATATCTACATATCCATCTCTATTGAATCCCTTTTTTTTTTTCTTACCTGATTGAATGCTCTACCTTGTAGTTCCAACTTGAAGATGCAATTGAGAAGGAAGACTTTCAAGAAGCTGCAAAGTTAAAGCTGGCTATTGCAGAGGTTGCTTCAAAGGACAGTGTAGCTGAAATCATGTCTCAATTGAAGGTTAGAGCTTGTAAGAGCCTCTAGGATAAACCACATGGAGTGCATGCGCTGTGCTTTGACCTTTAATCTAATCTGTTGTTTATTTGCAGAGCGCAATAGATGAAGAGCGGTACCATGATGCTTCATGGTTGTCTAGACATACAGGAAGTGGACTGGTAATTTCCTTGGTTGCTACTAACTCTTATCTTGGACAGTGTTCCTACTGGTGAATAGTATCCATTGAAAATGGCCAAGTAACACTTTACTGGCATAGCTGGCCTGGTGTTCAAGTATTACTATTGTTTTTTTAAAAGGATCTTCCTTTCTGGTCACTAGTGCACTGCTTTAAACGTTAAATTAACATTAGACTGGTGAACCCCAAGGTTGGACTTGTGTAGATTTTTGAAAAGGTATTTTATGAATGAACACATAATGGTAACTTGCAAGATCATATAACTGTTGGAATAGTGTTCTCTTTCGATATTTAAATCAAGCAATGACTGAAATGAAAATCTTAAAATACATTGCCAAGTTTTTCATATGTAAAAGTGGATGCTGGTAATATCATAAATGAATAGCAGGGAATAATGAGCATATTTAAATCCAGGACTCTTGCATAATTACAAAAAGTTTCAATGCTCCCGCTTTTCAGTAATGATTAACTAAAAGAATAAGACACTTCAAAAAGATAGAAAATTTGAAGGTAAGGTCATATAAATCTCTATTGACTAGTTGTATGGTTTGTTACTAAGTATCTTTTAGCTTCTCAATAGATTCCATAAGGATGATATTTTTTTGTTATGGATTCAATGAATTGCATGGTCTGTAGATTGCTAAAATGTTGTGTAACTTGGCACAATCACATAGGATTGGTAGCAGCCCAGGAAAGCAGACCTTTAGAGGATCTCTCTTTCTCTTTCCTTTCCTATTTTGTGTTAATTAAATTTATTTTGTTACCATTGGGCAGGTGGGCTGGTGGGTAGGTTACTCAAAGGACTCTGATGATCCATTTGGTAGACTAGTACGCATAACACCCGGAGTAGGTAGATTTGTTGCTAGGAGTTACAGTCCAAGGTGAGAAAAATCTTTCTGGCTATGATTTATGCTTGATGTATGTAAAGTAATTGATTATTATTAACTACTGTTTGTGTGCAGGCAGTTGGTCAGTGCATCACCTGGAACTCCACTATTTGAGATTTTTGTGGTTAAAGAAGATGAAGAAACATATCTTATGCAGGTGAAGTAGTACCGTACGTTAAAGATTTTTTGTAATGGCTCATATGGTATATTTACTTTGAATATGGTTCTGTGCTGGTTGATAAGAGTTGGAATCATTTGGTAAAACAGTGACTCCAGGACCTTTAGAGTTGTAGTCCATGAAATACGTTTGGGCAACTGATTTAGACAAATGAATGAATGTCTGCTGCAGAGGCTGATATGTCCTTTAAACTTGTTTTATTCCATGTAGGCAGGAGCGTATTCAACAATTTCAGTTCCTTAGTCATGATTGTATATTCTGTTCATAAGCACCTATCTAATGCTGTATGCAAACTGAATTGGGGCTTCCTTGGGTATTCTGCGCGCATGCCTGTTTTTCCACAAACACCACATCTGAATTGCTTTTAGTGCAGTGTTGCATGTTACTGTCTCTGCTTCCAATCATGGAACAGCTTCTGGTGCTTGTTCTGTATATCAGGGTCTGGCTGCAGTTGGACATTCTTATCCTGGTTTGACATCCTGTTGAGTCTAGAAATTCTGGATTAAATTTTTTGGTTAATCAGAGTATCTCTCTGGATACATGGCCTATTCTTAGACATGTAATGTTATTCCTGTGTAAAATTATCACATAATATTCTCATTTTAAACATCTTTAAGCTTGTTTCTGCATGCATAATATATGTTCGTCTCCCAGCATCTCTTAAAGGAGTGTGATGTATATCTGTACCAAGAGCTCTAAAGCCTTCTAATACAATTTATGGAAGATGCTTCTGACATGGCATCTGTTGGCAGGTAGTTTATTTGCAGCGTGCAAAAGGAAGTTCAATGAATAGTACAAGCTCACCTTCCAAGCCCACAAAAAACCCATCCACTCCTGAAGTTGAGAATGCATCTGTTGTAGATGTTCAGGGGAATGAAGCCAAGGCAGAAAGAAGTGATGAGAAGGGAATAAATATTGAGGGAGCAACTGAGGAAGGGCTAAAAAGTGTGATAAATTTTCTTAAAAATAAAATTCCAGGACTGAAAGTCAAAGTCATGAATGTCGATGTTTCTGAGGAAGTAATGGATAATGATTCTGTGAAGCAGTTGATGCAAGAAGATGATGAGAAAACAGGATCAACTGAGAATTCTGAAGATGAAACTGATGATTTGGAAGAGATTCAACCTGATGGAGTTGCTCTGGGAGAGGGTAACAATCCTGCAGAAGATGGCAAGGATTTGGATATGAAGCTTTTTATTGGTGGGCTTGTACATAATAATGAGGACACTCCAACTAAGGATGAGTATGTTCGTCTTCCAGCTGATATTAAGGACTTGGAGAGAGATTCTTTTCTGCTACATGTTCCCAAGAGGAGTTCAGATAATGACAATGGAGAAAGTAAAGCATCCAAGGTGAAAATAGCAGCTATAGCAGCTCAAGGTGTTTCTGAGCTTATGCCTCCAGATGTTGCCAAGGCATTATGGAGTTCAGATAAAGTTTCTTCAAAGGTGAGATTTAGCGTTAAACCAATGAGTTTCGATAATTAAGATTGGGATGTTAATCTTATACCAACATTATTCTCATTGGTGTTATGTTAAGGTTCTTTTAGTGAGATAAGCATAACATATGTGAAGCACTACCATATGTTTGATTCCCAAAACTTGTTCATCATATAAAAACCAGAAAACAACTTCCTTCTGTAGGCCTTAAAACTTATTTAAGTTATATAGTATTGACTGTAACTAAAGCTTTGACCGGCTGCTTTATCACCACTGTGTTCCAAATCAGAAATTTATGCTGATTTTGGATTCTCATATATTTTTCTTAAATAATGGATGTTGTGGAAGCTCCAAATTTGATTATAGGTTGACTTTTAATAACTGAGTTTGATGATTAGATGACTGACTGCTAACTTTATTTTAGGTTTCTAGAGATGTGCGCGAGATTGTCAAACTTGCTGTTAGTCAGGCACGGAGACGGAGCAGGCTATCTGAGTATACAAATTTTAATCGAATTAGCAGTGATAATGGCAATTTAGACCCATTTGAGGGTGGGTATTCTCATAGTGTCTCTTTCTTTTTTTCCTCCACATTGCAAGCATATTGATTGATACCAGCTGATTGAAGTGTAGGCCTCTATGTTGGTGCATTTGGTCCTTATGGAACTGAGATAGTTCAACTGAGTCGTAAATATGGCCGCTGGAATGATGCAGATGATGAGACTTCAGATGTTGAGTTCTTTGAATATGTCGAAGCTGTGAAGCTTACTGGAGATCTCAATGTTCCTGCTGGCCAGGTTTTCATTTTATTCTTTGTTAAATAAATCTTTTGATAGTTGTCCTGGTTATTTTTAGCATGTGAGCATGTATTAATTTTATAGATTCAGTTAACAGAACATACTTGTGGTAACTAATACACCTTTTACATCTTTAGGTTACTTTTCGTGCCAAAATTGGTAGGGAGAGTCGCCTCCCCAACCGTGGGATGTATCCAGATGAGTTAGGAGTGGTAATTACTCACTTTCCCTCTCTCTCATTCACATGGTTTATATGTTTCAACCAATATCTAAAGCATGTTACTTGGACAACTCTTTGCCTATGATTTTGGCAGTATGAAAACAAGCAAATCCTAGTAACTGAGAAGTCTCAATTCATTTTGATATGAATGCAGAAAACCTGGAAGATTAATATTGCACTCAAGGGGACTTTACATTTGTATGATATGAAAGAAATTGTTATCCTATATCCACTACAAGGAACATCTTACTTAGAAATTATTTTATTAAACTTGTCTATCTGTTGGACTTTAAGTAACCCAATTTGTACACTCATACAGACAAAGGCCTGTGCTCAGTTATTGAATTCTTCAAATTTTTTTCCTTTGGTTGCATTGTGAGAAGCAATGCCTATCTAATTTATTGTGTTCCAGCACGAATAATATATGTGAAATATTGCCTTTGGTGTAGATTTTGCCTAAAATATCTTCACACATCTCATTCAAATAAATTGCTTAACAAGGGACATCAGTTGGACCCTCTTACTGGTTACATTAATTTGGACTTTTGAGACTTCCAATTGATCACAAAAACTCTATAATCCAGGTTGCATGTTACAAAGGTCAGGGAAGAATAGCAGAATTTGGTTTCCGCAATCCACGATGGGTTGATGGTGAGCTCCTCCAACTCAATGGCAAGGTAATGAAATTATTCAGGGCTTTGTACTAATATGATGGAACTTGCAACTCAAATTATATTTGTTAATTTTCAAACTATATTTTGTAGAAATTAATAATAATAATAATAATAATAATAATCCCCGTACATGGCCATATGTAGGGCATTGGACCTTATGTCAAAGGTGGTGATCTCGGTTTCCTTTACATTGTCCCTGAGCAAAGTTTCCTTGTGCTATTCAACCGTTTAAGATTACCAGATTGAGCCTCATCTTTTATTGATTAATTTGATCACCTTTGACACAACAAGAGATCAAGAATGTGATGCAGAGTTATTTTATGTACCATATTGAGAGGACAATGCCACTTATATAATGTAAGCCTTGTATTTTTTTCTTCTTTTTTCCTTTTTTTCTTTTTGGAGGGGAAAGGGGTGGAAATTTTCTTTTTGCACCTTCTGCGCTTCTGGTCCCACTTTCCATCCCCCACCCCTTTTGTTGGTGTATATCAATTTTGCTGATTGATCAATTAGAGTGACAACTAATGAGGAACTGTTTTGATTATCTTCCTCCGTAAGGTCATACAATTCTTTAAGAATGTTGCTTAGCGTAGTCCCCTATGCACCCTGCCTTCGAGCACGAATATGCACTGAACAATGGCATGATTATCCCATCAGGATGACAATGATGATTATGACCTTTATGCACATTTTGATAGTTTGCTTCTCTTTAATGATTTGTATCTTTATTGTCCTTATCAAATGACATTGGTTGAACTGGTAGCCAGATTGCATGGCACTGAGAATTGCATCAATGATGATAACAAATCATTGATGATACATGATGGATATGGGTGTCAACGTGTCACTCCTCATCCCATAGTGGACACAAAAATACTCTCTTGTGGTTCCATAAAGTTAAAGAAAAAGCAGAAACTGATGGGTTCTCTTTTAGTTGTGTAAGCAGTGAAAAGCAGACATTGATGGAGATTTCTTTTTGTTGTTTAAGCAGTGAAAAGCATTGGATTATAGGAAAAAGGGGAAGATGCTTTACTTGTTTCTTTTGCATTTTTCTTTTATTTTTTTTGGTATATTCTTTTTGAAACCTGGGGGCTACTTGTGCAAGACGTGTCTGAGCAATCAGCAGTCCATTATTCCTAAGGTTATGCAGTTAATTGGGCAAAATGAGGTGATGGAAAATACAATGGTACTACTATTTTCTGCTCTTACTTACCTTTTGCATTTGCATGTATTGTTTTTTCCATCGTCGAACTTAATATTAGGTTATATTTTTTATTGTGACATGACGTGAATCACGTCATACGATATATCACATGAATATAAAATGTCAATTGATATTAAATTTAATATCAATAATTTTTTTGCTAAAACGATATACTAAGCACATGTGTGGGTGAGACTCAGTGGTGGAGGAATCTGTTTGGAAGAAGATATGAATGAATGAGAAAAAAAGGTAGGATGAATGGAGGGTTGCCTTTATATGACAAAGCATAGCCCACTCCTAAAGAAACCAGAAAGAATTTTACTTTTGGCTAGCTTTATAAAGAAAATCAATCTAGCTAAGCAATTGAATTCCATTTGTGTTTTCTTCACCTTTCTCCCACCTTCCTCTCTTTCTTGGAACCATTTGCCTCATCAATTATATATCTATAAATATGTTTAAAACATTAAATTCCTTTAACCTTAATGCATGACAAATTCTCATTTATTCCAGCTTGCCAATCTTATTTAGTACTAGTACTTGTATTTATTGAGCTCATAAGTTTAGTCTTAAACCATGTGATCACTAAAATTTGCCCTTATCTCCTTAAGTTTTTAAATAATTATTATTATTTTTGGGTTTTTAATCATTTTTAAAAATTTATTAATAACAAATATTTTGGAAATAAATTTCACTTATAATATTAAAATTTTTTTCGGTTTTACTTTAATTTCTTATCTTTGAATTATTCCATTTGAATCTCTATTTTTTTAAAATAATTTTATTTGAATCTTTTCCTTGAATTGTTTCATAAAACTGATATAAAATAATTCACACGTTGTAAAATATGTGGCATGTAAATTGTAAAAGGATAAAAATATAATTATTTTAAAAGATTAAGGTTCTGATTAGAATAAAATAAAAGATTAGGGGGCATAGTGGATTTAATTTTTTTTTTTGGAGGATAATATATCGGAAATTTTTGCATTTGTGTCACGTAAAATCTTCAGATTCTTCCATGCGGTTTCCATACAGAGAGTCCAAATTTAATGTTCACCGCATAGTCAACAAATAGTCTGTGGCCACGTCATAATGTCAATGAATGAGGAAACGTGGAGGTTTTTGATTGGTACACGTCATGGACTTCCTTCTTGATTGATGCACGTGATTATAACCTGTTTTCTAGACAAATGCCACGCGGCTTCTGTCTCTACGACTGCCAAAGCTCGAAGTGGACCAGTTAATTAAAGTCCCTTCTCCTTCAACTTTCTCTTTTCATCTGACTTTATTTTCTCGCTTCCCAAACACTGAACTTTTTAATTTTAATTTTTTTTCCTTTTTATTCAGTCATTAAATTCCGAGAAAGCAATGAAAACCGAAGCCCCGATGAATAGAAATCAAAATCTCAACGACATCATGAAGCGATCCTCTTCTTCGAACTCCGAGTCACTCAATCACCTCGACTCACCCCACTCACCTCTCCGATTCCACTCCCCTCTCCGATCCGACCAGGGCGACCCCGACCCTCCCGAGCCAGACAACCCCTCTCCTCCCTATGCTTCCCCGGCTGCCTCCCCCGGAAAACCCCCAGTCGACAACTCCAAGGCACTCGTCGTCGTCGTCGATAAGTCCACCCAGTTCAACGCCAGTTTTTCTCCTTTTCCTTCGCCGCCGCCTCCTCCGACTACTCCGCCGCAGCAGTCGTCGCATTATACAGTGAACCGTGCGGTGAAGGAGGAGGCACCGGGGGTGACGACGAGGACGAAGGCGGGTGGTGGAGGAGGAGCGAGGGCTGTAGCACAGGTGCTGAGGAGATCGAAGGTGAGGCAGGCGGTGGAGATGGCTGCGTTCGCGTTTCGATTAAGCGAAGTCGTTCTGTGCTTGATTTCTTTCTCCGTCATGGCTGCTGATAAAACCCAAGGCTGGAGCGGTGACTCTTACGATCGCTATAAAGAATACAGGTTTCCCTTTTTTATCATTTAATTCATCATTTATTGCATAATCCACAAGGCCACCGCGTTGTCGTTTTCATGTGAATTAGATGAATTACCTTAACCCGTTTCTTCATCTTATGTTGGTATTTGGCAGGTATTGTTTATCAGTAAATGTGATTGGATTTGTATATGCGGGGTTCCAAGCTTTTGATTTAGCTTACTATCTCATCACAGAAGCACATGTGTTCCACCATTACCTCCGTCAGCCTTTCAATTTCTCCATGGATCAGGCAAGTTTTTTCAGTTTAACTCTATTTGCAAATTACCCAACTTAGCTTTGATTGTTAGCTGTTACCCCCCCTCTGGCAATTGGAATTGCAGGTATTAAATGTATCAGAGTAAACTCGACTTTCGTCCCTAGTGGTTTCAACTTTCTTTACATGACATCCTCTGATTTCTTTTTTCCGTGAATAACTTAATCACAGTTGTTTTAATTAGTATAATTTACTGTTTGTATTTGAACCACAACTAGTCTTTTCGAGAGATTGGTGATGATTGAGTTTCCCTTCAGGCTTGGCCTGATATGGTTCCATCTTGTCGAAGTATCAGTCTATCAACCATTCCCTTCATCTCCGTTAACTAGATATTCCTCGTTTGTGATAGATTGAGTTTGTACTGCCTGCCTTCCTGTCTGATTTTCAAGTAAAATACCCCGCATGTTAGCTAGTGGTATAAGTTATAGGCGTAGATTTAGTTGTATAAATGTGGGTGGTTTGAGATAACTGGGTTCAAGTGAAAGCATTAAATCAATGTGTGCAAATGCCAAGGAATATGCTGAAAGGAATTGCTTGCTTCGTTGGTTTATCTTGCAGATACTAGCCTATCTTTTGATTTCAGCATCGTCTGCTGCAGCCACCCGGGTTGATGATTGGCAATCTAATTGGGGCAAGGACGAGTTCACTGAGATGGCTAGTGCCTCAGTTGCAATGGCCTTCCTGGCCTTTATTGCCTTTGCATTTAGCTCGCTCATATCTGGTTACGAACTCTGTACCCATGAGTCTCCATGATCTCTCTCAGAGGCAGTTGCTGCTATAGGTGGTATTAAAATCACATAATTGTGGGATTATATCATGTTTTTCTTATTGTACAACTTTAGATGCAAATTCGATTTTTATTATTGTACAGAGAAGAACATATTATAGCATGTTTCTCCATACGATTTTTTAACCCTTCAAAAGATAACAACGTAAACGTTCAGAGTTTATGGAATATACCATTTTATTGTGCTTGACTGTCCTTGTCTACATAGCATTTGGATTCTTCACCCTGCACTTCCAACTCTTTATCAGTGCAATCTGCTTACTGTTCTTGTCAGCAGGATGTTGCATTGACATGGTTTAGGGTTTATGTAAAATAACTGATTAGTTGTTAGAGAAATTGAGACCAAACTTCTCATCGATTCAATTCAGTTCAATTTGATCGATTTATTCGGTTCTATGCAATTTTGCAAAGGCCTATCAGTTTGGTTGGTTATCTTTTCTCTTTTTTTTTTTTTTGTTCTTTTTCACCCTTTCCAGGGGATTCCTGAATCCAAACAAAAGGAAACAATAATCTCAGCTAATTGGAATTGTACTTTGCTAGTGGTTGAATAGCTGACCTCAGTGCTTCCCTAATTCTTTAACATTAATCATGTATAGAAAAGAAAAATATGTTGATGGAAAGAGTGAAATGAGGTACTACATCTTAGGTAAAAAGATAGAATAAAAATGTTCCCCACAGCTATCTTGGTTAGGGTGAGAACCTCGAGTTATCGAACTCGATTATATAGGGTTTGGGGATCCTAAGTTAGGTACAAGTAGAGAGTTTGATATCCGTCTTGGGTTTGGGTACATTTCAAGTATCATTCTCTTGAATCCACTTATGTTCTTATTCAACTAAGAATTGTAAATTAGTAAAATTTATACATGCTTATGAGAGGAACCAAACTTAAGACAATTAACTATGAAAATTATGAATTGAAGAGACTTGAAAAATCGGGTTTAAGTATTTAACGGATAATACTTATCTAATTTGAGTACAATTCAAGTAACAACTTCCAAATATTAATTTGACACCTTAACAAGTAATTCGAGTTCGAATGTTTAAAAAATAAGTAACTTATTCGTTATCATTCTTAATCTTGAATTCCCATGATGTTATGGTCAAAGCTGAACGGGGCCAAGCACCCAAGCAGGTTCTTCAAGTTTGTTCCAAGAAAGATTGGGCCATGAATCTATCAACACAAAGTCAGATTGCTGCAAGAGCTGGATCGGGGTCCTGTCCTTTCTTAGCCTTTCCACACACAGAAAATGTCTGAAAACTCCATAATCGCCAGAGCCAAGCTTTGTGGAACTGGTACCTTGATTTTCAAGCACAATATTATCATCATCTACCCAAATTACACATAGAATAGCAAGGAAAATACTAAGGTTTTACCCTCAATTACTACCATTACCATAATATTACTTTGGTTCTCTATAAACTTATTGAGAATCCCTCCTGTGTATATCTTTTATTCATTTTTATATAATTCATAATTTTAAATATAAGATTTCAGTTCGGTAAAATTCTATTTTATTACAAATATGATATTATAAGCTTGATTTTTATCTTAAATTATTAAGAACTTCTTGTACATGTCGATATCTCATTCAATTTTATACAATTCATAATTCTGAATGCAAGATTTTAATTGTACAATTAAAGCTTTGAGGTAATTGGGTAAATGGGTTTGGTTTGATCCATCCATTTTTCACCAAGACAAAAAAGAAGGTCCACAATTGTTAATTATTGGATTAATCAAGGCTTACACTCGCCAGATGCCTTTAATGCAATAGCGTCCTTCTTTACATTATAATTATTTATTAGTAAACCTAATGGTGTTGTCTCACATTGGAATTTTAATTAAAAACCAAAGGAAATGGTGATTTAAGACCCTTTCATGTCCTAATCCAACAACCGTGATGTTCCTTTCCTGGCCTTGTGTTCCTGTTGTTGGGTGCATGGTGGGGTGCATTTCACAGGCAATGCCACATGCCATCTGCCTTGTGAAACCATTGATTGATGCTTAATGCTTATCCTCACCTAAATGAAAGCCTTGTCTTAGGATGTTCACAAAATTAAAATGTTGTTTAAGCCAATTCCTGTAAATTTAAACTCCCTTAGCTCCCTGTTGGCTCCTACTACTTCTTTTGATGATAAGGAAACTTTGTTAACTCTGAAATCAAGTCCAGTGTCAACAGTCGAGATAATTTTAACTCTAACAACTTGTATTGAAATTGCTATAATTAAAAAACTCATAACTATATTTTGAGTTGAATCGGTTAATCCATCTTACAATGAATACTGATCGATTTGTGCTTATTACTAACGATACATTCTTAACTTTAATTAATCGAATCGTTTTTCAGACGCTGTTATTTTATAGAAAACTTTATTTAATGAAATTGAGTTTTGGCTTTTCTTATTTCCCTTTCCTAGTTCCAACCAAAAGAAAAGGTGAAAGAAAGGAATGACATTAGAAAACCTAATTGGTAAAAAGGTATAGGAACCCTACAAATTATGCATGTCATATATATATATATATATATATAATGGAAATCCAAAGACTGTTTACGTCATCAATTATGTTAAGCAAACAATAAATAAATTGATTGTTGTAAGAAAGAGACACCCTGATATGCCACGTGTACAGGAACCAAGCAAAGTAGATTGCAAGTCATGTTCACTTGGAAAAAGACCCCAAGATTTTTTCTTTCTTTCTTTTTTTCTTTATTATGCAATCACACAAAAGGATTGTAAGAGGGTTCACGTGGCTTCCTCCATCACCCATGTTCATGCAATTCGCAAATCTCAGCTACATGACAAATATTCTCTGTCACACTCTTTCATCCTATAAGTTCCTATCCTCGATCAACCCCCTTAATCATAGATTTATTAGGAGTTTAAGTGATATTGGATTCGAGTTTTATTAATAATCTAAACGAGGGTCGTAATTTATAAATTAAAGTAACTCATTCGTCTCAAACTGTTCATAAATAAAAAAAACCCTCAACTTGTTATCTTTTTTCTTTCTAAAATTTGATAATTCATAAGATATCATGTCAAGTTTTATTAATAATCTATGTTGCTATTATTGAATGAGAGAAATAATTACTAACATCTACGTCGTAATTTAAAAATTTAAATAAATTATTTGTCTCAAAATTTTCATAATAAAAAAAACCTCAATTGGTTTTCTTCCTTTTCGAAATTTGATGTTTCATTATCATGTCAAGCTTTATTGATAATCTATCTTCTAATCATTCAACAAGAAAAATAATTATTAACATCTACATCATAATTTACATATTAAAACAACTTATTTCTCTCGAATTTTGTATAAGAAAGAAACCCTCAATTTATTATTTTTTTCCCTTCCAAAATTTTGGTATTTCTTAAGATATCATCCCAAAGTTGCCAACCTTAAATCTTGAACCTAAGATTCCAAAGATATCATAATCACAAATCCATGGTTGCGTCGACTCTTTGATAATATTTCATTCTTTAATTTTCAATAACAAAATTAAATATAGTAAGGTATTCCAAATCCAAAATATTGAAATAGAAAAGATCCATATAAAGCATATAAATATACTTATTTGTTTCTTTTGATTATACATCAAACCTAACAATTAGGTTTACCATGGTCATGCTATAAAATTAATAATGGGTGTGTCAAACCTTACACCTAAAGGCTGCTGTCAGAATCATTATTTTAAACTAAGCTTTTTAATTACCTACCAACTACCACGATTAAGTACGGATTAGGACATAATTTGTATGATAATTTAACTTAAATTATTGGTCCTTCGTCTAGTTCAAAACGTACCCATTTGCATGTGCATGTTGCTATAAATTATGGAAGATTAGAATCAATAAGATTTGCATAAAAATATTTTGTGATAGAATTAATTGATGATTTATTTATAATAATGACTTCTCACCTACGACACCCAAAGAAGAAAATCAAATTTTTTTAAGTGGACTTGATTTGATTTAACCTACCCCAATCCATCAAATAAAGTAAAGCTATGAGCATCTAGTCACTTTCCCTTAAGCAAATTAAAGATGTTTATAGATTTTGATTAGTGATTTTTTGTATCAATATACCTCAAAAGTAAGATTCCATCTTGGTTTTTTTTTTAATTTTAATTTTATTATATTTAATTTTTTTCCCTATTAGAAGAAGGGTTTAATGTAACATTTAAATTTGAAAAGAATATATTTAAAAAACTAAAATTAAAATTTCAACTTTTTTTTTTAGTTACCTACCATGACTATCATCATATTCATATCTAACTTCTTCTTCTTTTTTATAGGTATATGTACAATCCTTTTGAATTTGAATTGTACCAAGACAAAACATCTTTCATCAATCTCTTTACTTTTTCACTGGATTCGAATTTGAGATTTTATAGTGTTAGAATCGGTATATGCTCTCCATATAATTTCATGTATATAATTACTTTCTTTAAATCAAATTACAACGAAAATAACACATGTACCTTTAACATATTCATTTATTTAAAAAACTATATTTAAATGCTCTTTTTTTTATAAATAAAAAATAAATATTAAGAATAAATATTGCAAAAAGAAAGAAAGAAAAAAGGGAAATAGATGGGATATGGAGGTGGCATGTGTAGAAGAAAAATGCATGTGCCAGTGTGTGGATATGTTTGGCTTTATATAACAAATAAATTAGTGATTATTTCTTTAATTAATTATGGTGAATTAAAATCATTAGATCCCATTCCCAATTTCCCATCCTTCCAAGGGACGTTGACCCCATGTTGAAATTGGCATGCATGTGGTACGACCGTACACTTTGTACTCTTTACACCAATCATCCCTCATTAATCATAATCACTTTTTGTAAATTACTAACAATTCAATCTTGACCTTTTTCTCAAAATATACTTTTCCTTGGATCTTCATTTTTCATGGTTTCTTTATTTTTTTTAATAGTTGAGTTCGGATTTAGGGTTTAGATATTTCAAAATTAACGAATATCTTGTTTATTATCAAATTATTAAACTTCATTGATAATTTGTAAATAATTTTATAATTATTAGAGTATAAAGTACTTGCATGTGGTTATAAATGAAAATCAAATGAAATAATTTATGCATATTTTAACATAAACAAATCCGAAACATATTACTTTGAATAATTGTTTTTTTTTTTCATTTGGAGTGCACCAAACAAATACTATAATTACAAGATTAGGTATTGTAACTTATATGATCTCGATTTTTTTAATTTAAAAAATTAAAAAAATTGATTTTATTTTTTGAATACGGATTTAACGGTAACGATTAAGTTAAGTAATCAAGTGTTAAAAGTTTGAATTTTGAAACCTAAAAAATGAAATGAGTTATTTTTGGAGAACGGATTCAACACTTACTATTAAATCAAGTATTAAGAATGTTAAGGCTCAAGAACTAAGAGGTCTTTAAAGTCTAAAAAGGGAAAGAAAAATGAAGTGGACATGAACACTTAACAGGTTAGATCCAGCAAAGAAGCAGCAGCAATAGGAAGAGTGTCCCAACCTTGCCGGCTGAGGCGGAGGCTGAGCAGCAGGTATGCCAACCCCAACCCAGCTAGCCTCTCCCCAAAGTCCTGGAAGAGCGTGAGCCACGCGTTTTCCAACAGCGGGTGGGCCTTCAAACAAATGATTCCCAAAGACAAAGAAAAGAGAGAGCGAGGGAGGATGACACAAAACTTAAGAAAAAAATAAAATAAATATTAATTAAGTAAAAAGAAAAAAGGATGGACCGTATACGGAAGAGGACCATACCAATACGGCCACTGTCCGACACACCCACGGATTACCACCCTCTGCGAGTGGTCCCACTCGCCATTTGCTCTCTTCCCGATAAAAACAGGAAAACTCAATGAGGGGAGATATTTTCTTTTAATTTTATTTTCTTTTTACTCTTTTTTTTTCCTTTTTTTAATTTTCTGTTGTAACACCATCACCCCCACCATGGCTTTTGTCCCTTTTGGTGTCCGAAATGACGCTATTATTCCTCCTTTATTGTTTCCATATTTGTAGTCCACTTGACCAAATTACCCTTGTTAAGGTTCGTAAGTTACGATTGCATCCTTCAGGGGAATGTTGTGAGTAGTGTGACAGGTGGCAGAACAAGAAATGGGAAAGAAAGAGTAGGAAGGAATAAAGGGTAAGCTTTTAAATCAGAGATACAATCGATGCAACTAATGAAAGGATGCTCACACATGAGATATGAAAGTCTTTGTTCTAATAAATGTTAAGGGTATTGGTGATTATGACGGATTTGATAAGATCTTATTTAAAAAGCGCAACACTTCTATTAAAATAGAAACAAAGAGAAGATGAAGGAATTCGTGTAAGTTAGAGAATTATAATGAGTTAAATTTTTTGATTATTTTCAAATTATCAAATCAAACGTGTTAAACATTTCAAATGCAGGATTTATATTCTAAGGTTATTTTCATTCTTTCCTATTGGAATATAACTTTACCGATATAGATTTTTTCTGTTTTTTATTTTTTTAAATTAAAAATTATGTATTAATTAATAAATTAAATATTTAAATATAATTTTATTGACATAAATTAGTTTCATTGCTCTACGTAGTTTTGTTGCTATTGAAGAGATGATATATTAATAGCCAGAAATTAGGTTCTATACTTAAAAAGATTGAAATATAATAGTTTGTATAAATTGACAAGTGAATGCTCTGCGTTTTTGCATAAGCTTTGGGATTGGGATGATGGGAAAGGGGCAGGATGGGACATTGAAATCAAGAGAGGCAGACGGGGGGGAAAAACCAGAAGAAATGGCAGTGTAAGAAAATAGGTAGAGAAACAGGGGGCAAGGGAGAAGAAGGGAATGGGCAGAAGTCATAATCAGGAAGACCCCAGATTGTCTCCTCATTAGTGGATCTTCGCACGTTATTGAAGTTCAAAGGGTCTTTAGCCAGTAAGCACTAAGCAGCGGCATAGCCATAGCCCTCTCTTCACAAAGAAGAAAAAGTAATAAATAATAAAAAAAAAAGAAAGAGAGAGACAGAGAGAGAGTGAAGGAGATTTTCTTCTTTTATTTTACTAGCAGTAGTAACAGTACAGTGCTTTTTAGTTTTTCCAGCTTTTTGTGGTTTTGGGGGGATTGGTTTGAGAAAGAGAAAAGAAAAGGAAAAGAAAACCGCCAGCTGAGCTCTCGGCATATGCTTTCACTGCACACCAACAACAACAACAACCCAACCGACTCTTTCTTTCTCTCTTAGTAGCTTTTTGAAGCTTTCAAGCCCTGAAAAAGGTTTCAGCCCGAAATAGTTCTCAGGGTCTTTTCAGTTTTCTCTATAGCAAGCTACCATTTTTACATTAGCTTTATCCTCAGCTATAATCAATAAACCAATCACAACTGTGGGTTTAGCTTTCCTTTGTTTTTTTTTTTTTTTAATTTTTTCTTTATAAAAAGAAGAGGAAATTCCAGCTGGTGGATTCTGCCGTCTTTCCTTGTCATTTTCGTTTGATTCTTGAGCTAAAGCTTTGGGATTTTGCAAGAAAAAAAAAAGGGGTTGCTTTATATTTTCAGGAAAAACAAAGAGAGGAAAAAGGCTTCAGTTGCAAAAACAAAACTTCTTGCTTTGTTTGTTTTTGTCAAGTTTTTCTCTTACAAAACCAAAATACACGGATTCAATCAAATTATGAAACTTGTAGCTTGAATTGTATAGATATGAGTGTATATGCATTCTTATAACACATACAAAATTTCCGTATTTCTGAAATGTAGCTGTATGAGAAACCTTCATTAAATTTCCAAGTTCAAAACTTCAAACATTTGGCTCTCACTAAAATTAAGCCTCTTTTGTTTTGCCACAAAATTTGGATAGTGCTTCTTTTTAGGTTCTACATTGGGTTGATTTGATGATTTTGTTTGAGATTTAGTGCAAACCCATGAAGAATCTATACTGGTTTAAGCAAATCTCCAACAATGTTAGGTCAGAGAGGAGGCTTTCACTTGGAGAATACAAAAGAGCAATTTCTTGGTCCAAGTATTTGGTTTCCTCTGGCGCTGAGATAAAGGGGGAAGGAGAAGAAGAATGGAGTGCTGATATGTCACAGTTGTTTATTGGCAACAAGTTTGCTTCGGGGAGACATAGTAGGATTTACAGAGGGATATATAAGCAAAGAGATGTAGCAATTAAACTTATAAGCCAGCCTGAGGAGGATGCGAATTTGGCTAACTTACTTGAGAAACAGTTCATTTCTGAGGTGGCTTTGCTTTTTCATTTGAGGCATCCCAATATTATTACTGTAAGTTCTATCTGCTTATTTGATATTTTCTTGCCTGCATTATGTTTCCGTTGAAAAGGATCATGGTTTTCCATTTATGTTGAATAATGTATTTTCTGTGTGGTTTGTGTGCGTACAATGTGTGGGAGAGGGAGGAGAGGAAGGATGGGGTGGGGGGAGAATGTGATGTGGATGACATAAAGAAACATAGTGCTATGCAATTTGATTTTGTGATTTTATTGTGATCACATTCATAACTTTATCAGGTAAGAGTTTAGTGAAAAAGATTGCTGATAATTAATGGATCATGACATATCTGATAGGAAAGCAACTTTCCAGGAATGAGAATTGGCTTAAAATAGTTGGGGGAATCACACTTCTTTTCCTTGAAAAGGAAGAATGTGCTTATTTTCCCTTTAAAAGATTCCAACTTAAAAGGTCGTAAAGGTCTTAGCCTTTTGAAATGAGTCAACACCAATATTGAGCGATACAGCTGAAGTAGCCTCTCTTTCTTTCAAATTTGTGACCCTTTTCTTTTCTCCTTACCATTTAGCCACTTTTTTGTTTGGTTAGATTTGGATTTTTGTTCCTTCTTTATTTTTTCGGGGGGAAGGGATCATGAAAACTGTTGAACTACTTCTGTTGGCATTTATTGAGCCTTGTTATCATACCTATCCATGACTTATTACCCATGTGCAATATTTATTACTCTTACTCTTTCACTCCTCTTGATAAGAAGGGGTTACAACTCCTGCCTGTGTCATTGAATTGACTTACTCTGAGAATGTGGATTCTCATCTGGTCCTGATGTATAAAGTCTGGCATCAGAATCAGATGTGGCCATAAGATAGGAAAATTAATTCTCACTAGTGAGATGGTGCCAGATGGGAAAGAATAACCAGACTCTGATGCCCAGAGGTGTCTGTTTATTATCTTAAATTGATTGTTTTTGTGTGGGCAAACCAGTTCCCAAGATATTTGTCTCACTTTGAGCTTCTGTATAGGTCAGCCTCTATGATTATTGAGGTTAGGAGTTTCTTCCCTTTTTTTTGGGGGTGGTGGATGAGTGGACGCTGTGAATGGACCACAAATGTGCTTGTATGGCTGCATATTTAAGTTTATCTCTTGAGTCGTAGGCATGAATTATGATCTAGCTATTAATTCTGTCCCCCTTACATCTAGGTTTTAGAGACTGGTAAGTTCAACTGCAGATTCCTGTCCTAGCAGTTGGTTGTTATCATTAAGGGTCATTTATCATAGTCTGGCTTACTGATGCTCTCTCAGGGAATTTTTAGATATAAAAGTTTGTATATTTGACTTCTTGTGTTAACATTTAAATTGTTGAAGAAGTTAACATAAGTTACATTTGTTGAACATACACTTGCATGTCAAGCAACTGATTCCCCCCACCCCCTCATTTTTCCCCTCGGTAATCATGAAATATGTTTGAAACAGAAAAAGAATGAAGAGAAGGCCTGAATCACTTAAACCTACAGACTCATGCCTCTTACTGCCTATCAGCATTGCTAGCAATCATCTATATATATCGCAGTCTTATAGCCTGAACTTTTTGTGCACGACAAGCAACTGCTGGTCTTAATATATAGATGCTTGTGGCTTCCAGTCTCTTCTAATTAACTAATTGTTGTTACTTTATCCTCCAATCAGTTCATTGCAGCTTGTAAGAAACCTCCTGTGTTCTGTATAATCACCGAGTATCTTGCTGGTGGTTCGCTAAGAAAGTACCTGCACCAGCAGGAGCCATATTCAGTCCCACTCAATTTAGTTCTCAAATTAGCTCTCGACATTGCACGTGGGATGCGGTACCTTCATTCAGAAGGAATACTCCACAGGGATCTCAAATCAGAAAATTTACTCCTTGGAGAAGATATGTGTGTGAAGGTGGCAGATTTTGGTATTTCATGCTTAGAATCTCAGTGTGGTAGTGCAAAGGGATTTACAGGTACATATCGTTGGATGGCACCTGAAATGATTAAAGAGAAACATCATACGAAGAAAGTTGATGTTTATAGTTTTGGCATAGTCCTCTGGGAGCTTTTAACAGCTCTGACACCATTTGACAACATGACTCCAGAACAGGCTGCATTTGCAGTCTGCCAAAAGGTAAAGCACCTGACTTGTTTTTGGTATGAAGCTTCCATGTTATTAAGATTCTCTCCTTTGACCACTGGCTAGCCGTATTTTTGGTTTTATTTCTCGCAATCCTTTTTTTCTTCTTTTTTAAGGTCATGGATTAATTCTGATTTGTCAATTATATTGGAAATAGGAAGCTGGATGGTGATAACCCAATATAATTTATGTTGAGGGGTTATCTAACTCACATATGAAGATGACAGTTGGGGGGCCATTCTCAGTAACTGATTACTATTACAAACACCAGATTCCACCCCATCTTCCTTCTCTTTTATCATAATGGAAGTTTTAATAGGCTAATATTTTGCTGAAATATGCTTTAGGGGAATTTTTGATTTGATGAAATTTTCATCTTCGAAAACTTTCACCTTTCCAAGCTAGATGATACCATGAAAATGGTAAATGCCTGAATATTGTCTGCTTCCGAATACTGGTTACTGAATGGACTCACTGGTATGTTTTCATTGATAAGTGGTTGGGGAAGCAAAGACTTGA